CCTAGTTTTTCTGAAATGAAAATGGGTGGAATAATATTTTTTGAAAAATGAGTGGTTGAAACTCTCAGCTCACACTGATTGGCTCTTTTGGCGCACATTAGCAAGTGAGATTTGAGAAAGTAGAGATCTACTGTTTTTTTAAAAAGTGATTATTTGAAAATTAATTTTTCCCTACATTAATTTTTAATTATACATTCTAAAAAAATATTAGTGGTGGGAGAAATTTCTAAACCCATTAGAAAACGGTATTATTATACTAAGGAAGAAGATTTTCTGAAAACTAGTCATAACCAACGTGAGATACAGATGTTTTTTTCTTTTATTTTTATTAAATATTTACTTTACTGGTTTAAGTGTTACATTTGTTTAGCTCTCATTTAGTAGCAATTTTTCATTTACAAAATTTAATTTTTTAACCGTTATTTCATTATTCACCTATCATTTTTGATTTCTTCTCTCACGGGTAAGGTCCACTTCTCTCTAACTGTCAAAAAATCAATTCATATAATCACTACCAAACAAGCCTTTAATGTGTTTTGTTGCTCGGTCAGGGTTTAAAACCAGGCTTTGGAAACAGGTGTTGGTTCCTTTTTTTTTTTTTTTTTTTTTGGTAATCTGTCCAATAATCAGATGACATGTGTCATCTAGTTCCAAACCCTGAATTTTCATCATGTTAGTGTAGCATGCTTCTTGTTTAATAGCCAAAAATTGTCTTTCTCTTTTAGCAAAATCAAAATTTTATTGTCATTCAGAACTTAAGAAATTAAAAAACGTGCAAAAAAAATAGTAAACATGCATCTAATTATGCTAATTAAATTTAGTTAGAAATTAATACTAGAATAAATTTGGGATGGGTTCTGCTTCAAAACAGATAGATAATACAAATTTCAAAAACTTGTTTGCATAGAAGAGTTTCTAATAGAAAGAGTTGGACACGTGTTGCAAATATGTATCGTCCCCCCCCCCCCCTCCCCTCCCTCGTTTCATTAGCTAAAAAGCTTGTCCTCTTTGTCCAATCTTCCACTCAACCTACCACTTTTCTGCACTGCTACCACTCTTGCACTTTCTTTTTCATCTTCTTTCCCTTCATTCAAAAAATCCAAACAATTGAAATTTGTCTGAATTCGAATTTGAGAAAGAATGCTAAATTGCACATACTATTGTTCCGAGTTCATCAATTACTCTTATAAGCTACGCGATTACTTTCTTTCTATATATTCAAATAGAATCAATTGAATTTGTAAAATTTAATTCGGTCGAATTTGAACACGAATTGCATCGGTGGGCAGAGAAGTCTTCCCGAGACTCCGCGCTACGCGGAGATTGCGGATTAAATGTATTGCAAGATTATTAGGGTGAATTTGTTTGTGCAGAAATTATCTATTTTTGTTTTTCGTTATTAATTTTTCATTCAACAAATTGATACTTCAATTTATGTTACAATATTAGATGTACTAAGCATTTGGACAAAAATTTCGGTGCTGTAGCTATAAAACATTACAAAGTTCAAATGAAAGCCAAACGATTAAGCAACTTTTTACTACTCGAGAGGAATGATTTTTTTTATTTTTTTTTAATGAATTGTGCATTTAATCACATTTCTTTAAAAAGAAATTCAAAAGAAATCATTTCATTATGTGTTATAGCCTACGGAAGAATTATTGGGAGAGAGGCTTTAGACTATTTTCATTTCTAAAAAAAGAAAAAAAAAAGAAAAGAAAGAAATACAAACAACGGGATAGGATTTGTTATTCTCCGCGGCGCAGAGAGGTCTCCACATAGAGCGGAGTGCGTGAAGACGCAGTCTCGCATGGTAGCTCCGCTCATCTCCTACTTTTTCCCATCTCCTCCTCTGTACCTCAACTCTAAAACTTGCAACTCTCATTTTTTCTTCTCCATGCATTTCTTCTATATTTTCTAGTTTTTGGAGAAAGGTTAGAGTTGTCAGTTTTTGTTGAAATTTTAGTCAAATTTAATTGAAAAAGCGCCAAAGAACAAAAATCAGCAGCTTTGCTGCTGATGTTGGGCCAATTTTGGACAAATTCCTTTGTTTATGCGTTTCATTTTTTAGTAAGTTTTGTTTTGATTATATTTTGATAAATTTAAGTCGAATTTAAATCCCGTTTATTAAAGGATAATCCTTAAGATCGGGACTTTCAATTTTAGTCATTATCTTGATTTTTTTCATTTTTGGAAAAAAAAAAATCTCTTCTTATTATTTTTCAATTTTTCCTAATTTCCTAGGTTTTTGCTATATAAAGCATTGTAATTGATTTATAGAAATAAATTTTTTCTAGAGTTTTTTTTTTTTTTTTACTAATGTGAGACTTTGGGTTATATGATTTTTTAGTTGTGAATATAATGCTTACATTGCTTTGATTACAATGACAATGAAAACGGCAATGGCTTTGAAATTTATCTCCTTACTTATGGTGAAGAGGTAGATCGAGGTTTAACTGTTTTTGATCTTGTTTTGAACAATTTATTGTTATTTTATGAGTTGAAAATTTTGATGGAGGACTCATCAATGATATTTATTCTAGTTTAAGTTCCGTGTTAAATTTTTTGATGAAAATTTACATTATGATCAAGGATGATACTCAACAAACAAGCATGCTCTCATTATTCCACCATTCATGGGCTGGGAAAAGCGAATCCATCCTCTACCATTTTCCGATTCTTACATCACTGGTAATTTCTCTCAGATTTACTAGAGCACTCCCCTAATTAATTTGCTAGAATTTAATAAAAGGTTAATTTAACTACTGATATGGCAGTTCCACCCCACCCGATGATCCTAAGAAAGAAGAATGGAGGAATGGAAGAAAAAGAAGAATGATAAGTGAAACATCAAGGAGATAAAGGTGGAAACAATGGTTGAGATGAGATGATGATCCTGATTTATTCTAGTAGGTCCGCCTTTTTTGTTTCTTTTATCATATGTTGCTATATAGCATTTGATCTTAGTATTTTTATTTATAAATTGTTTTAATGGTATGTGTTTTGGTCCATCATATTGCATCCTCTTTTTCTTGGGCTCATTTTTTTATAAGCTTAAACAAATCGAATAATCAATTAATATGAGATATGAAAGAAAAGAGATGAGAAGTAAGTCAATTCCAATCAATTTATGGAAATCTTTCACGTTTATAAATGATTTTCTTTCAAACTATTCAACTTATTTTCAACACACGTTCACCCACTAGTAATATCAAAAGAGGCACTTTTGATCTTTTAAGTCATACGAAACATGTCCTATTCAACATGTAGATTTATGTACAATTCAAGTTGAATAGTCGTCAAAGCATCCTCAACCAAATTATCAATGACTATATTTTCTCCTGTATTAGTGTAATCGTGTAATTATATAACAGGCATGTCGAATTTACTTTTGTTGCTCATTTTGTCTATTGTATTATATTAGCATATAATTTAGTTAAAGCTCACTCGTACCATTCTCCTATTGAACGTGTAGAAAACTTTTATTAAATAAATTTTCCATCCTGTCAGTTGGTAGCTCATTTTTTTTTCGGCCTTTTGAATCTTCTTTAAATTTTTCCAGAATTCAATCAGGAAGGCACGATTTAACCTACAAAATATGAACTTAAAGAAAACTTTCAAAAATTATATAAGACAACATGGTGAAAACATGAGAAGTATTTTTGATGAAGTGCATAAGGGATTAGAGTTTATGATAAAATGGGACCGTTGCAAGACAAAATAATGATTTTTGATTTCATGATAACTTCGAATTTGTTCGTTTTTGACGAATTGCTAATCTAATTCGATTGGAATCGAGCCAATGAATAAAACTCAGGCCTTTTTCGGATTTGTGTTCCGTTTGTTGGAGGATGATCTTGAAGATAAGGATTTTCCATCTTAGTAGTTATCTCATATTTTTCTATTTTTGGAAAAATATCTTTTTTTATTTTATTTTCCGAATTTTGCTAGATTTTTTCTATTTAAGGCGTTGTAAGCCATTTGAGGCGGCAATTCTTGAATTCAATACAATTTTTTTTTGAGAGTTTTCTTATTTTGTGATTGTTCATATTCTCTATAATCTTCCGCTACGTCAATTTTTCTTTCCTCTTGCCAATCCAGAACATAGCTTATTTCAGTGCCTACTTATAGGTTTATACAACCTTTCAAAAATAATAAAAACTTAATTAATACACAGATGGAACACAATACATTGTATACATCAAGACTTGTATTATTATTATTTCATGGGGTGTTATGTGCATGTAGATTTATCCTTCTACAAAATCAAAGAGATTAGGTAATTGATTTGATAAATATATATAAATATACATGTTAATCAATCAAATAAAAAATAAGAATTATCTATTAAAATAGTTTAAGGGCCTCTATGATAAATTTTTTGATAAAAATTGATGATATATGGTTCAAAAGGTGATGAAATATATGAATTCCACAAAATATGTAGTTAAAATTAAATTTTGATGAGATTAATGTTTTTTATCTAACAAGGTGTAAATATAGATTGGATAAATTCATCTACTCATCTTTGATGAGTGTAGATTTTGACATATAAGAGTATAAATTAATGTAAAGGAGAACGTAAGTGCAGCCAATTTGACAAAAGTAACTCATATACAAAATGGGAGGTGCTCCTATGTATAACAAGACTTACTGCTCCCTTGAAGCCCCCTGACGAGAGAGATTTTGGTAGGACAGTCGCACTACCATCGAGGTGTGTGGACCACCCATCGAGGTGGTGCATCTGCATTGCGCGGTCGCACCATCCACGTAGAGCGATTGTCCGACTGAAATATCTCTTTGTTTGAGAGGCTGTATTTGTCCAGTCCAAACTAGATTGTACAAGTATTTTTACCCATGCGAAATGATCCTATAATATTCTCAGGAGTTTATGACCCTAGTCGTAAGAAAACTCAGATTCTACTTTTTCCAACTAAAGGCGCTGTACATATATGCGACTTTAGTTCAAAATACACATGCAAGCAAGAAATCCCGTCTAGATCCTTCTGGAATCACTTTCATAAGCATCTAAAAACGCTCTCATTTACATTGATTTGACCCCTTTTGGATTACCTCTTTGACCTCAGACGTGCTCATCGGAGGCAACTTTAACTAGCTCTCACAACAATTTCTCCAATTTTAATTTGTTACATCTACAAGGTTCGATTTCCAGATCTATTTCGCATTCAATTACCATTTTTTTTTTTGTTATTTTTCTGGACTTCTGTTTTCTTTTTATCATCGTAAACCCTAAGCGTAGTACTCAACTCTTATGGATCATAAGATATAACAGCTTTTTTGACTGAAATTATTTATTGCATTTGTACTTTTTTTTTTTTTTCCATGGGGAGAATAGCACCGCTGTTGTTAAATACCTTTGATCTTCCCCAGATTTTTTTCCATGTTTGGTAAAGTTTTCCGTTGCTTCTATTTCCCCCATTCCTGAATATTATTATTATTTTTTTCCCATCAGAATATCTTCTATGAAGTCTTGTTCCTTTTATGATCATTTGGGTACTTAGGTTTAGAATTTGGTCGTGTTTATAATGCATTTCAATTTAAGGACATATTTCCAGTTGCTCGTTGCCTTTGTAAATATTTTGCTTTGTTAAAACTTGTCAAAATGACTAGAAAGCTGAGGGGCTCTTCTCTTTGTGTTTCAGTTTTAAGTTTTGAGTTTTGAATTCATTTGGGGTTTTGTGGTTTGAGTGTCCATTTTGAGATTGTTGAAAACACTTTCTTTTTGCCATTTTGAAAAATTGTTTTCAAACATAAAAAATTGAAAAACGCCTTTACTTTCTAGTTTTGAAAAATTGA